GTTGGATCATGGAGATGCTATACTCATCCGTGGATTAATACACTGATGTCTGTGCCTGAATGTGTTATTAGAAGGTAGTCCCAGTAGAAGGCGCAGGTCAGTGAGGGCATGCCTCTGGAGGATATATCTATCCTCTGTGGTCTGCTTTCCGGATGTCATGAAATGTGCAGCTTTTCTCCACTAGGCCCTTCGTCCATGATAGTTTTGTCGTGGAACTAGTCAGCCATGGACTGACATCTCCAAAACCATAAATCTAAAGAGCCATTTCCTCCTTTAAATTAAGGGCATTGGGTATTTTGTCCCAACAGTGGGAAAGCTGAGCAATATATGCTACAAGAAAAGTGCATGAATGTGATGTTTGTGTCTGTCTTTATCTCCCTCTCTCAAAATATCTTGTTGAATTGTACTTGTAGATGAACACTGTGATGCTATCTATAGGAATCAATCTGATATCTAAGATAGCTATTATATAAGTAACTGGTGAGTAACACATATAATATAGAAAAGCTAAAGAAATGGAAGATTCATGCCCCAGACAAGACAACATAAAATTTCAAGACATGACTCAGAATGGTGCACAGTTTAAAGCTTATGAATTTATTTCTACTTTTCATTTAATATTTTCAGACAAGAGTTGACCCTGGGTAACTAAAACCACAATATTATTACATTTATCTCTAGCTCTCCTTCCGAAGCCTCACAGATGAGGCCTTTGGAAGATAACTGGAGTATAGGTGCGTGATGCACATCACTGTATTAGGGTACAGCAGAGTGTGATGTTGGGAGGTGAAGCCTGGTGGAACAAGGTGGGTCACTGGGGGTTTTGCCTAGAAGGGCGTATCTCCTTTCTTCTCCTTTCATCCCTAACTGCTTCCTGCCTGCCCTCCCATGAGCAAACATCCTCTGCCATGCCACCCAGCAGACTACTGACTCAAACCTGTACAAACTGTATGCTACAATAGTCTCCTCCTTTAACTTGTGCATGTTGCATATTTTGTCCCAGCAAGGAGAAAGTAGTGAAGGCATATGGAAAAAGGGGAACATATTGTAGCAATTTGTTATGAGGTGATAGAACATCAATACAATGTACAAAATTCATTCATCTAATGTTGTGAAGTGTTTTCTGTGTGCAAGGCACAGTGGATACTGAAAGTTGTATAAAGCACACACATAACTGTTTTTTAGAATCTCTACCCTCAAGAAACTATAGCTGCAATAACTGTACTGTGTTGTTACCCTACTCCCCTTTGGTTTGTGAGGTCAGAAGCTTTAGCCTTTGTTAAGCATCTTCAGTCAATTAAGACATGACAGCCATAGCAGCAGCATTTTCTGAATTCTGACATAGACTGAGCATAGAAAATAGTTTCAAATAAAAAAATTCATTTGAAGATATTTTTAGAATATATAAAAATGATAACCAAAAGATGTATTTATGATAATTTAAAATCTAGTTGCATTTTAAAAAGTTAGCTCCTAATGTACAATATCTCTGAAATTTCCTTGAATTAAAAAATCATTATTTATTACTAGTAATAAGTCTTATTGTCTTGGGAATTAAAATAAAATTATTCCTAAGTGGAGGGAATTAAAACTATATAAATTCAAGACTAATTGACTCTATGAGAAAAATATGCTTTGGAATCCAATCATAAATGTCTTTAAGAAAAGATGTCTAAATTAAATTTAAAGTCATAGAATATTAAATAAGTATGTTCTCATCATGAGCCTAATTTGTGCTTCTTAACGCTTCCATGTTGGCTTTCATTTAAATTTGTTTGTATGCTGTCAAAATCAGTTAAACCAAATGGGTCATTCTTACATTGTGGAGAATGTCAATTTAAATTCCAGAGGAAACTTTGAATTTTTATATTGCTGTTATTTCAAATGTTGGGCTTTCAGGTAAGACCTATAAATAACATTTTCTTATTATATTACTCTCAAAATAAAACATTGTTGTAGGAAATACCCCCACCCCCAGATATATTCAGACTGTGGCATACTCTTTCTTTGTCCTGTTAATTTTTTTTTTATTTAGTAAAGAAGAATTGTCTTGGGTTCCACATAAAATATATAAAATAGTTAATGCATGTACCTAACACATTTCTTTTATCTTTAGTATATTTATATAAAAAGGGCAATAGAAATGTTGGGCTGCAGTTTGAATATGCCTGCTATATAATATTAAACATCAGTGGACTCAGATTATTTACAAAATGAAATAACCTGAAATGTAGAAAAAAATCAAAGTACCATATGAAATTGGAAATGAGAAATGAAAAATTCTGAAGTGATATTGTATAATTATGGCTACATTCAATGCAATACCTTAAAATTATTGAGACAGAGCTAATTTCTTGTGAACAGAATAGCAAATTTAAATTTTTCTCTCCTTTACAACTTAAACTTTTCTATCTGTTCCTACTTGGTGCATCTTTAGAGTTTAAAAAAATAAATCAGGTTTTAGGGGATGTTTCACTTTAGTGAAAAAAAAAATGCTTCCTTTAACCACTGAGAGTAAATTATTTTCCCACTTTCCTTACTTGATTTATATTAAAAATTCACAGCAAAATAAGAGAGATAAAAATCATCTTACTGTAGAAAAATGACCCATCATACATTTTTGCTTATTCTATCTATCTATCCATCTATGGGTATGACTTACTAGAATCTAGCTCCTGCCCTCCTTCTGCTGATTCTGTCCGTCGTACTAGAATACCTGCTGGGTTTCATTTTCTCTATTAGTGGATCTGTTTGACAAGAGTGTAGTTTTCTCAGTAACACTCATGGAGAGCCTTTTGACTCAACAATAACACGTCATAACATCTTTGGGTTTTGGTACCATTGAGAGATTTCATTTGCAATCCTCTCTCCTACTAGTATTGTCTGTAGTCCCTGTTAAGGTATCACACAGGATAGCATGAAAGAAAGGTCAATAAGGAAGAACTAATGTGAACAACCTTTGCCTTTTAGTACATTTGCATTTGGAAGACACTATGTTTCTACTTTTGAATATGTGAGAAGCAAAGTATTTTGGATGCTACTTGATATTTCATCATCTTACAGAATTTTTATGTTTTTCTTTGTTGCCTTTCTTATCATTAGGAAGGTTTCTGCATGGGTCCAACAGTTACTATGTTTTGCTTGTTAAATCAATAAATTCCTGGTACAATAGATATTGTGAAAAGGAAAGAAAGTGCTCAGAAGGAAAGAATGACTGGGATGACAGAAAAGAGGAAAGAAAGAAGGGAAAAATATGTATACCTGTATACACAAAATAGCTAAGATAATTGTAGTACTAATTTCTATTACTTTATTGAAAGGAACAGTTAATGTTTAATTGTTTGATCACTCTTACCTGCATATGTTTTTTTTTATCTGAGTAACTAATTTGAAGATAACTATATGTAATACAACAATTGTTAATTTCCTATCACCTTGTCTGAAATTCTGTATTTTTTTGTTTTTTTTTCCATGTTGGTTTGTTTATGTCTCTGTTTGTTAATATGTTTTGATTCTTTTACCTTTAAAATGAAAGAATCAATAAATTCCTCTATTTAAAAAAAGAATAACATTACAGTGTCAGTAATGAATCATTATTGCATAAAGGACTTAGAGAAAATGAAGAGGTAAACTCTCTAAAGAAACTTTTGCAAACCACTTGTATGTGTATTCTATTTATGCAAATGGTGGGTTTACATGATATAGCAACTTTTACCAAAATGGATCACTAGGCACTTAACAAATGTGTCCATTATACCCAGGAGTGTATTGTTTCTTCACTCTGAAGTTGTTTTCATGATAAAATGTTACATCTACTTAATAAACCTTGCAGTGGATTATCTAGGCAAGAAATATAAAGGAATGCACAATTTGTTTGAGACAATTAAATTGTATGAGAGTGGTTCATTAAGCAGCACATCTCTGGAACGTGCGGATCTGTGCAGTCTGTGAGTAGGTTTAGTGTACAAAAATAACTGCTTTCTCTTGGATCGCATCTGCTCTTGTAATCATTAATTGACAAATATACTCACGACAGCTCTCCTGTCTCATGCAAAATTCTCTCACTTAGCCATTCTCAATCAGAATTCAGAACTTCCTTTAACACAGTCATTGTAATTTTGTTCTCATCAGACCATCATTGTTTTTGGTTATATATTTGTGTTCTATCCATTATATTTTATAAAATTCAGCTTTCCTAAAATCAGTCTTTGCTCCTCTGACCTGCCTATTAGGAATACCCTCTCCTTTTCACTCATTTTCATGAAAAAATTAACCCAAATTTCTTTACCTGTGTCAAATGCAGAAATTTACATCGTGGGTGGGTCTTCAAACAGAGATGAGTTTGTAATGAAAACTAATCTTGCATTGTTGGCTGTGTGGCTATCTGTTGATGGCAAATGGGATCAGGAGTAGAAGCTGAGCGTATGTGAAAGATCAGCGGTATTCAAGGGAGGATGATTTGTTTAGGAGATTAGGAAAAAAATAAATAAATAAATACATCTACCTAGCTGAAAAGAATATTCATACTACAGAAGTTACGAAAGTGCTTTGGAATTTCAGCTAGTAAAATGAGTAATTAACTGAACTTTCAGAAATAGGCCCCAGGAGTACTCCTGCTTGAGTATGTCCAGGTGATAATGGAGAACTAAGCAGAATCCCAGTCACTGAGGACTAACCGTGTTCCAGGCCCAAAGGGATAAAAAGTTGGACAGGGAGCATCACTCCCTCTTAGGTAATTGGCACATTTGAGTTATAGAAAGAAAATTCACTCCCTTGATAATTTTTGTGAAGTTGACTTTATTTAAGGAACAGCAAAGAGGGTAGCTATAGAGATATGTGATTCTTAACTGCTGCATCAGCTTGAGTAAGATATGCCCAAAGATTGGATCAGCTGAACTGATTTACTAAAGACAGAAGACTGAGCCTGAGTGTGAGTAGAACCAGTTACCAGGGTTGTGGCCTGGCTGGATGAAAAAGGGGAGCGAAGAAGGAAGGCTCACTTCTGTTTCTCCGAGGAGCTCCGGTCTTTGCCTTTGCGGTGGAGGCCAGCGCAGACTCTTCAGCCTCCCGATGTTGACTCCCACAGGACTCAACAGGGAGCCCAGGCCTTTGAGGCTCAGATCTCCAGGGCAACGGTGGCCTCTGGCACACTTCCACACCTGAGTCTGCAGGTGGCCCTCGTAAGCTCACCTCATGAATCCTTACATATTTATACAATTCATATTAATCTGTTTCTCTATGAGTACTGATACAAGGTCACTGCAACAGGCCTTTCAGTGAGATCAAATTTAAGTCAAACTCGAAAAGGCCAAGGGTGGGTTTATAACCACGGAACAGGATGGAGGAGGGTTATGGATGGAAAAACGTCAAGGATAAAGGGTTCCTGGCTATACAGTGCGGTTGGATTATGCGATGCAAAAGAGGGATGAGGATGTCTAAAGAGGTCAGTTACTAAAGGACTCAGCAGGATTCTTGTTCAAACTGGATCCCTCAAGGACAGAGATGGAAGCCCAAGGTCAGATCTAGTTAAGCAGAGGACTCAGGGAAAACTGACAAAAGCTAGGGTCAAAAGAGAGTCTGCCTTTGAGGTTATACGGTTAATTGCAATGATAAAGAAGAAGAAAAGGCATTCTTTATGGTTTGTGGTCACACAGAATAAAAGCCTAGTACTGAGAATTAGACAAGGGAAAGAAAATAGTAATCGCATTTCAAGATAATTTATAGTATGTGACTTTAAATATATTTTGATAGCAAGGCAGACAAACGTTTAAATCTGAGCTTGGGACCTTCTACAAGGCAGAGCAATAAACAAAATTCTCTCAAGGCAGGTACATGCCTTTTTTATATCTTTCTGACTTTAAAAATTAATTGGCTTTTAAAGTGTGGCATTGGATATATCTCCTTACTGGAGTGGTTGAAAGGGATGATTTAAGGATAACTTGAAATTACAAAGGCCTTCACAAATTAAGTTAATTCTCCTTCACAATAGCCTTTGTAGGTAGAAAAATATTGCCCCCTTATAAATGGCTGCTAAAATTGAGATGTGGTTAAAATAAATAAGTTAGTATAGAAAAAAAAATCAGGATTATTAACTTAGTATTAGGTTTGTGGCCTAATGTTAAAATTTTTTCTTCCCCATCGATGGTCATTTTCTTCGCTGATGTGGATTTGTTAGGGCAGGTAACTTTTGTATCATCATGAACAGCATTAGGATTTCATACTGAAATATTTCTAATCACACTTTCCAGTTCAGTGACTCTATGAATAGCTTCAAATCAGGCCAGCCATGCATGGTGGATGCCTGTAGTCCCAGCACACAGGGGGCTGAGGTAAAGGACTGCCATGCGTATAAAGCCAACATGGGTGGCATAGTGAGTTGAAGACTGACTGCCTAGACTATGTAGGGAGACCCAGGCTCAAAAATGAAGTTTCAAGTCATACATTTTCTCTTCTAGTCATATGTGAAACATAGACAAAGGAGAGAGGTAGGAGACAAAGCAGAGCAGTTCCTTTGAATTTATTTTTTAAGATTCTAGTCTCAAAAATGGAAACAATACAGTTTCTTATTGAACTTTACACTTTACTTTCTTTTTAAAATTCTTTTTAGCTCCAGTTTATTTTCTTTTTTTTTTTGCATTTTTTTAAGCTATACCAAAATTTGTCATGAGTTCTATGCACTAGGTATTGCTTTTAGCTTGTAGTTCTTTTAATTAAAATTTGATTATAAGAGGTTGATTTTATACATAAGCTATGTTTTGCATTTTTGTTTTTCTTTCTCATTTTTTTAAAATTCAAAAGTAATTTTAAAGGAGCTTTTTTGTGCTCTAACTTCAAGAATTTCATATACGCTTATTAGGAAGAATTAATAGGGAGAATTTCTTACCTGACTTATTTGTTATTATGCAAGCAGTCTTACAAAGGACAATATTCTTCCAACATATCAGAAAGGACCCTTTTGAATTTAACCTGGTCTCTGTGATCCAGGAATAGTGAAAGTTGAAAAACGCACCTCAGTTTATGGTGTCTCTTCTATCTTTGATTTTTTTAAACTTTCTAGAAGTCCAGTGAGACCCTCTAAATTTCTTTTTTTTTTCTAGTTTCATAAATGATTAGCAGAACTACTTGTCCCCATAGACCAATAGGAACAAAATTCATGTTAACCAAAGTTTTGTTAAAATTCTCTCCTTTCCTCAGGCACTTAAAATTGAAATAACATCAGCCTGTACTTTCCTTTCCCAAGAACAATCTGGCCTAGGGGTAGAACATTTTCTGATTTACTGTCTTCCTTTCATTCCACTACATCACCTCTTTTAACTTATTTTATTTCATTTTATCAAGAAAGGCTCTTTTCTCTGTACCTTGTGAGGAGCTCACAGATCTCATGGTCAGAGCTTTCTTGCTATTGCAATAACTTCTGTACATCCCATGCCAAAAGCATCTTTCTTGTTTTTGTAATCACTCTTTCTAATAAAATTCCTATTGCCTAGTGACTTCATACTTCACCACAAAGTCGGTTACATCACCGAGCTGAGTCTGAGAGGTTCCCTAAGCTCAGACAAGAATTTAACCTATTCTTTTGAAACAGGTTTCCTGACTCCCATTGAGGCAGGAGATTAGGGTATGGTAAACTGGCTGGGGGGGTAGGCATGATCTGTTAGTTTAAAAAATTCCTGCACACATGTGCAAACAGTTATTATTAACAGCCCTGATTACAGACTTCAAGGAGAACTTGAGCAATTAAGGGTAGGATGACCTAGACTTGACATCATCCTAAGGAATATTAGTAGTCTTAATTTTCCCTCAGAAAATTATACCCATCTAATCATAAATCCAACTACCGTCCATATATTTGAAATCATTCTTGACTCTTGTGTCTTTCTTTCTCTCTGAATTCAGTTTGTCATCCAATTATGTAAATTGTTCCTCCAAATGTAACCCAAATCCTTGTAATTCACCCAGGCTTTACTCTGTTCCACCACTGTACATTATCAGTGAACTTGTAATTGGTTCTCTTTGTTCTACTAGTCCTCACAAATTCAGCCATGTTATTCATCTTTAGTCTTCTGATTAAAGGTCACCAGTGTAGTCTGCAGGCTGTTATCATGACATGGTTATTGACAACCTCTTCCCTCATATTACATTTAGTTTTTCTATATTTTTCCTGTAGAAAATAACTTCAAAATTTCACACCAAATTACACATGAACTTAATTTGTTCCTTGATTCTGGGGGAGATGACCAAGTTTATGTTCTTGTGGCCACAGTTGTGTTTAACACAACTTAATACAGAGTTCGCCAGCAGAAGAAAACTTTGCTGAATGCTTCTGTTGACAAACAATTCAACTAAACCATTTGTGAACTAAGGTATTACTGTATTATTATCTATCTGAGGCATTAGAGTGTCACTGAAACCCACCGGTGAATTTCCAGGGGTGCATATAATTTATCCTGTGTGCCAACAGTGGGCAGAGTACTCATATGCCGACAATGACAACATACTGCTGATCAGATCCCCGATACCTGTAAGGGGAATGACAGGGAATAAGGAAAGACAAGAGACAATATTCAAGGTACAAGGGGACCAGGAGGAATCTGCCTCTAGTGGACAGGCACAAAAATCTCTGCAGTTGACCCCATTTTATCAGCAAGCAAGGATCCCAGGAGAGGGGGTAGTGTACTTTTTATCCAATAGCAACTACCCTAAGTGGGGAACAATTGAATGGGGAGTAAGTTCTTCTGCATATCAATATGCCTGCATTCTTTGGAGTGTCCTCAGCAGATTTTATCTTGTCTTAGGAATGCTGTGCTTCTGAGCTTTCTTTGCATAGCCAGGAAGATGGGCTCTCCACATACTTCTCTGTTCCTAAGGCATGGTCACACAGGCCTAAGACCGTGGCACTCCAGTCACATATGCTGGTCCCCAGCATAGTAAATTATTACTCCATATTTCCTGGTCCCCAACATTATACAATGCCAGTGGCAGGCTTTCATTGATGTTTAGCACCAATGTTTGCGAGGTAATAACAGCAGAAATGTAACTCCAGACCTTTAGATTTCAAATATGCTAAGTTTGTGGTCCCACAGCATTGAGCAATGAAGTCATGAACCAAAGGAAGAAGTTAAGAGAGTTTTATTGGAAATAAATAGAGAAGAATAACTTCTCAGTTTTAGGAAGGGCCATAAATGAGTGGCCACTGACAGCCTTGGTCAGGGATATTTATACAGGAAAGTCACAATGTTGGTACAATATGAATCAAACTACAATCATCCTACATGGTCACAAATATAACCACTTAACTAATTTTGACCCCATCGGGAAATGAGTCATGCAGCAAGGGTACATGGAAGTAACAAAAGCATTTGGGAAGGGACGGCTGCAGATGCTCTGCTTATCCACTTGGGTATCTGATGCTTCATTGGACTTACTGGATCAGGTGGTTCTAATTACATAATTCCAAGTTACTGTTTATTTTTTAGGGAAGCATGTTGGCCTGGTCACTGCATCTTTGTCTTGAGGCCTGGCTTTCAGATACACCTCCAGCTACAATTCTGATGTGTTTTTTTTTTTTTTTTTTTCTGCTATCCATGAGGGACCAGTCCCTGTCTGACTGTATATTAATTTCCATCTAATTTAGCTGCCTATAATACTCCTCACTCTGAAGAAGTACTTCTACCTGCCCTTAGGGAGAATGAGTGAAGTTTCAATATAGCTGCTTCAAGGCGAGATGGGTTGGTATAGGGGAGACTACAGACTGGAGCCTTCCTTCTCCAGAAAGCTAATCTCAGGGGCCTTGAGTATATATGATGTTGGGATTTAGCAGTTGTGAATTCCCTTTAGAAGGTTGATCTATTGGACCACAGGAAAAGAAGTGTGGCACATTTCTTCTTGGTTCTATCTGCATGAGCATTTGGAGTTGGCCTTTAGGAGAGAATAATGAAATTTTCCCAAGAGATCAAAGCACGTATGACCAAAGCCTGAGCACTAGAGTGGACAGACAGATTGAAGAAAGAAGCTCAGTCTTGACACTGCTCTGAAGAGACTGGAATAGGCTTGTAACCAGCTAGGTCCTAGACCTGCCTGCTCAAAGTGGTCATCTATGACTTTGAAATTTTGTTGTTTGAAGGTTATTTTTTCATTTGGTGTGAATCATTTGTCTAAAGACAATAAATTTCCATTATTAGTGTACAAGTCCCTCCAGTC